CATCTGTAAATGTAAGAGAATACATTTTTCTTGTATCAAGCCACTGAATTTGTTGTAGCAGCAATAGAAAATTGGGCTGTGGATGTAGCTCAGTTGGAAGAGTGCTTGCCTAACATGCATGAGGCCCTGGGTTCAATTAGTTCATTGGTCTTTTGTTTGTTTGTTTTTCGAGGCAGGGTTTCTCTGTATTGTTTTGGAGGCTGTCGGAACTCGCTCTGTAGACCAAGCTGGCCTTGAACTCAGAGATCCACCTGCCTCTGCCTCCCGAGTGCTGGGATTAAAGTCATGTACCACCAATGCCTGGCCAATTAGTTCATTCGTCAATAGTCCCCACATTCATTAGTTCATTAGTTCACTAAGTTGAAAGGTAAGGAATGTGAAGTTGTCACCTCTCTTTTCATATGCTACTGGTAACAAGGTAGGCTGGGTTTTGGCTCTGGCTCCTCATTGAAGGGATTCTGGGGTTAGAGCTTAGACTCAGTAGAAAATACATTAGACACCAGGGTCCTCATACAAACTGCTGATGTCAGCTTCATCTGTCTACTACAGTTGCCAACAGAAGCTTTGCACCCCCTCAGAGAATTAATACAGAAACCGGGCTGGAGAGTGACTCAGAGGCTAAGAGAGCTTCTTCCACTCTTGCAAAGGACCGCAGTTCAAGTCCCAGCACCCACATCAGGCAGCTCACAGCTGCCTCTAACTCCATTTGATACTTTGACATCTCTCTGACCTCCTCGCACACATGCACAGACACTCGCATACAAATAAACAATAATATTTAACACACAAACTCTGTCCCACCTTTAAACACTCTGGGTCAGAAACCTGAAGGGAATGATTGAATCCTGAGCCTCAGACTCCACGCTAATTTGAATAGTTTATGTATGCTGCATCTGATTATGCAAAGTAGAGGGCAGATTAGCATGACTATCTGAGAAAGTGACCCCTGTTCTGGTTCCTAGCCTTGAATTCAGCAATGCTCCAAGGGACCTGGGCTGAGACTGGAAGGATGGTTGAGAGGTTGCAATCACTGGCTGCTCCTCCAGAGGACCTGGGTTCAATTCCCAGCACCCACATGGCAGCTCACAACCATCAGTAACCCTAGTCTCAGGGAATCAGTTATCCTCTTCTGGCCTCCATAGGCACCAAGCCTGCATGTCCTGCACAGACATACATGTAAGTAAGACACTCATATACATAAAATAATTTAAAACATTAAAAGAAGATTTAAAACATTTAAAAAAGAGTGCTCTGGGATTGGGCTGTATACACACCAATGGCAAGGGTGGAGGCTGAGGAGTTCTTTGAAAGACCTGTGATTGTACCTTTACCTGAGACAGTTCTACTGTTGTCCAGTTATCTGGATCAGGTGGAATAGGTGCCAAGTACTGTATATGAAGCTCTGGGTAGAGTTTCTCTAGTCTTAGATAGTCGGAAGGATTGACTGTCAGATGGGTTGATGAAGGAGTTAATGGGTAAGTAGGCAGGTGAATTACCAGGTGGGTCAGTAAGTGAATGGCTTAAGGGAGGGACTCATTCATGGCCCCAGAAGGATCCATCATCATCTTCACTCTGACATTGTCTCCTACAGCTTCTGGCTGTTGGTGAACTTTTAAGTGAGGAATCTGCATGTGGTAGCACATACATTAATGGGGCTGACAATCAAGAATATACTTTGGGCCAGGCATGGGGGGCTCATGTCTTTAACTCTAGCACTCAGGAGGCTGATGCAGGAGGATCTCTGTCAGTTCAAGCCCAGCCTGGTCTACAGAGTTAGCTCCAAGACAGTCGGAGCTACACAGAGAAACTCTGTCGGGGGGAGTCAAAGAGACAGAGTCAAAGAGACAGAGGCAGAGAGAAAGAAGAAGAAAAGAATATCCTTTAGGATTACATAATGACTAACCTTTGTTATCAGCCACATCTGGAATCAACTAAGCCCCAAGCAAGCAGTTGAGCACAGTTTTTTTTTTTAGACTGGCTCTTTTGAGGTGAGAAGATACAGTCTAAGTCTACACCTTCTGGTGGCAGAGGACATGGAAGAAGGAAGCTTTTGCTTTTTGCCTGCTTGCTCAGATTTTCACTGGCAAGTTCATCTACCCTGCTGCTGAAACATCCCTTCTCTGGTATTAGAACTTATTTCTTTGGAATTCCAGTGTAGGCAGAATACCTGCTGAGATGCCCAGACTCATGGATGGAACAACTACCAGATTTGGGTCTTTCCATCAGGAGACAGCCAATGTTGGACGAGCTGGACCACAGTCTGTAAGGTACTGAGTCACACACACACGTATATATTCAGTTTTGTTCCTCTAGAGAACCCTGACTGAATCAAACATAAACCTTGTCCGGATGAGTCACTGGCAGGCATATTTAGCTGTCGCAGTGACCTATAGTATGTAGGTTTCATATGACACTTATCAATGTGTCACCTCAGGTGCCATCTGCACCACCTGTCTCTGGTCAGGCTACTGGTTCCATCTCAGCTGGGTTGGCTCCTTCCAGATAGACTCCAGTCAGACTCTCTCCATGCAGAAGTTAGGCACTCACACGCATGCACGTTACAAGTGCAGGTGGCTAATGTCTCCCAGGCTCCCCCTTTAGTTTGGGGAAACAGGAACCAGGAAGAGTTCTGACTCCTCCTCCGTCTGGAAGCGGGTCTTGAGACAGGTGTTCTGCACCCACGGGCTCTTCAAAGGGCAGCATCTAGAGGCCATGTGCTCCTGTGTGACCGTGAATCCGTTCTCACTGCCTCCAACCTCTCTCCTCTCCCTTCCTCTTCTCACTCCTGACTAAAGAGGTAGCTCAGAAGCATTTACTTTCCAAGGAACCTAAGCTGAACCTATGATCACAGCTATGTGATCTAGCTGGGGTTAAATATAAGAACTTTGGATACTATTAGAGGTTCGGCCTGCTTATCACCTGCCCCCGACCCACAACGCTGAGCTATTCATTTTGGTGTCCTTAATACTGAGTGACCCAGTCCTCTTACTCTTCTCTGTAAGATGAATCCCACTGGAGGATGCCCTTGTTGTAGGAGGCTGACCTTCTTGTCCAAGGATACCCTCCTTGACAAAGGATGCCCTTTTTGTTGGAGGATGCTCTTCCTGTCCGAGGATGCCTTTCCTGTATATTGTTTAGGCCTCGGTATCATCTTATTCAAGGTCTGTGGATATTCCAGATCACTGCCTTCTTCTTCTGAGTGGCTGCTCTTTTAGCCTGGTGTGCAGAATTCAAAACAGCAAAAGCAGATGCAGGCAAAGTCTTCTTGCTGGGCAGAAAATGGTCCCAAAGATGCCTATGTCCTATTTCTCAGGCCCTGCCAGTACCTCCTCACTTTGAAATAAATGCATTTGCAAATGTGATTAAATCAAGGCTCCTGAGCTGGGGCTCACTCTAGGTTATCTTGGGCCTCAGAATAATCACACGCCTCCTTAGATGATAAAAACGAAGACAGACTTCACACACCCCCAGAAGGCAATGCATGGTAGCTGTGACCTGTGGTGTTGGCTTTGAATTGCAGTGATGTGGTCACAAATCCAGGAATGCTGGCAGCCAACAAAGCTAGGGAAGGCACAAAACAAATTCCTCCAGAGCTTGTGGGGGAGTTCAGTTTTGTTCCTTGGCCTTGATTTTTGACTCAGTAAGACTGATTTGAGATTTCTGTACTTCAAAGCCATAAAAAAATGTACTTCTGCTGTTTTAAAGGCATCTGGTCTGTGTGATTAATTACAGTGGCCACAAGGAACTTCATGAATAAAGCTCTTCTTTAAAAGGACCTTCAGATATATATGGTAGCTGAGGCCAGAGGACTACACATTCAAGGCTAGTCTGGGCTACAGAGTGAGTTCCAGACTAGCCTAAACCACATTAAGATCCTGTCAAGAAAACAAATACAAAACAGGCCCCCAGAGATCACTGCCCTTGGCTTTACCATCCTCCTGCCTCAGCCTCCTAAGTCCTGTTAATAACCCATGCCCAGATTAGCCTACTTTTTTGTACTGTGTTTCATGTGTATTGATGCTTGCCTGCATGTATGGCTGCATACTACATTCTCTGGTGCTACCCGAGGCTAGGAGAGGGTCTCTGATCTCCTAGAACTGGAGTTACAGACAGTTGTAAGCCACCATTTAGGTCCTGGGAATTGATCCCTAGTCCTTGAGAAGAGCAAGAAGTATTCTTAACTACTGAACCATCTCTCTGGCCTGTGTCCTTTAAAAATATCTTAAAATTTTATGTGAATATGTGTGCCTAAGTGAGGTCATGTGTACTGCATGCATGCTCGTGTGTGATGTAAATCAGAGCACACCTGTGGAGGACAGAGGGCAATTTGTAGGAATTGGTTCTCCCCTTCTACCATATGAATTCTGGGACTAGAACTCATGTGGTCAGGCTTGGCAGAAAGTGCCCTTCCTGGGTCATCTTGCTGGCACTTTTTGTGGTGTTTCTGTTCCCATGTTTTTTTCCAACCCAAAGTCTGCATTCTTTAAAAGTATCTAAAGATGCTTGGACATTTGTTCAAGCAAAGGTAGGTGTTGTTTCTAGACATCACGAATGAGATCTTGTTTTCCAGAAGAGAAGGTTTTAAGCTGACCCCTCAAGCCCTTCTCAGCCCTCACCTACTCTAAGCCTTCCCATCTAGCATACAAGTGTTTTATAAAGTGTGTTCACAGCAAACCCAACACTGAATCCCGGGTGGCACTTGTTAAAATGTGAAGCCCATGCCACGGGCAGGGTTAGCACAGCATCTCAAGAGAACATAAGGAGGAGTCTAGAGAGACCCAGCAGCCCATGCCTCCATGCTCAGCGGTGGAGCTGGAGCCTGGGCCAGGGGCGGAACTTTCCAGGAAGCCTGGTCCCCAATGCTGGATGCTTATGATGAGTGCCAGGCCCAGTTCACAGAGGACTCTAGAGTCCTGTCACCTCATGCTATTCGTGTCACAAAACAGATGCAAAGGTATCCGGGAGTCAGGGACTACATATATTTTTGACAACACTAGTCATGGTTAGGCAACTCATAATTTATTTCCTTCTCATCTCCCTACCTACTTTGATAAAGGGTCTTGTTTTATAGCCTAGATTGGCTTCAAACTTTAGATCCTCTTGTCTCATCTCTCGAGTCCTGGGATTCCATGTGATGACCATGCCTGGCCAGTTATTTGACTCATTAACTAAAAAGTACTTATCCAAACAGTAAACAGCTTACACACGCACATCCCCACTATCCTGCACTCTCCTACTGAGAAGTGTATCAAAATGCCATCATCATGAGATTGATTAAATAAATTGTGGCACATTCAGACATCGAGGCATAATGAGGAAACTGTGTAAGCACCATCATGGAGATGCTTCCAAAGCAGATTAAGGGAGAAGGCAAGATGCTACGGAGTGTGTGTATACAGAGCTGCATTTGTGTATGAGAAGGTATAAGAACCCCTTTCCTATTTGTAAAGAGATGGTTGGGTGTGTGTGTGTGTGTGTGTGTGTGTGTGTGTGTGTGTGACAGAGAGAGAGAGAGACAGACAGAGAGAGAGAGAGAGAGACAGACAGACAGACAGACAGACAGACAGACAGAGAGAGAGAGAGAGAGAGAGAGAGAAGTAGTTACCTCTGTGGTGGGGGATGGGCACCAAGCCAATGAGGACCAAGGAGGAGAGTTTTACCCTGAATATAGTTACACTTTGTGACTTGGAACCCTGTGAGTGTAGTACCTAAAATAAGTGTTTGCTGTGGCCCTTACAATAAGAAATCTGGTTTTGGTTCTCCACATCTGATTGCCTTAGTGTTACCTGAGCACTCTGGTGGCCTGTGGGTTCAGGTTTGGTACATGTGGAAGCCATGGCCACACCCATGTCTGGTTAGACATGCCACTTCAGACCAGAATGGGATTTCTGGCATCCAAAGCTGTAGTGCGGAGACCAGTGTTGGGGTTTCTCATTGGTAGAAGCAGTTTCCAAAGGTTCTGAGGTTTGGGTCCCCCATCTCCAGAGCAACTTCTAGAAATGGGGGTCCAGCAATGTTCTAGAAGGGAGGCATCAGCTGTTCCCGACTCACGAGCGAGGAATGGTGGTAGCGATCTCTGGTGGCAAAGTCTGTGTTCTCCTGGGTAAGCTGAGTCATTGCCATGTCAACCTTGGCTGGGTGTGGTGCCAAGATGATCTGCTCCCGGGCGGACCTCAGGCTCCTTCGGTGACAGACATAGGAAACCGAGAAGGGAAGAAGCAGTGGAGATGAACAGTGGAAGCCAGTCTTACCTGGATAGAAACACTGTGCAAATGCCAGCTGCCATAACATGTAGCGTGTATTTAAATGTTTAAAACATAGCTGTTGAGAACTACAACAGTCTGTGAACTCAACGTAGGAGATAGAGTGTCAATGATATGACAGGAGTAACATTAACTGTTCTTAAGTGGAACAGTGGAAAACTGTACTCTCTAATAAGAGATGCCCACACTAAAGACAGTGTTGTGAGGGTTCTGTAACTTTTCTTTGTTCCCTTGTCAAATGAGACAATGGAATGACAAATCTACAGAATGGAGAAGAGTGGAGAGAGAAACTAAATTGATTCATTAGAAAGCAAGTTGAGGTGTTACACAGGCTGCCGGGGAGAAAAGGTATCAATGTTATCCCTACAGCCAACCTTGCATACTACAATACCACCTTTCATGGCAAGATGTGCCTATGACTTCAATAGTGGCAGGAAGGTTGTGGGTGTAACCAGCTGCTTTTGGATTGGATTTGAGGCTTGCTCCCCAGAAAGGAATTAAGGCTTGGTACCAAAAACCTGCTCAAAATCATGGCTTAGGAGGTTACAGGAGGAAGCTACCACAGTTGTTTTGCTAAAGAACATGATGTCAAACTGCCTTGTAAAGTCTATTGCTTATATACAATAAGCAGATTAGTGCTGCCCTCAACCTTAGTCAGAGAAGTATCTCTCTGTAGTGGGCATCAGTTAATACAAAGACTCATAACTGCTCAATGTGCTGAGAAGAAGTGTATTGAGCATTAAGCTCTAAATGAGACATTTGTATAAATCCTTGTCACCAAGGCTGAGGGAACATAAGGAAGAAGGGAAGGAGCCAAGGAAGGGAGGGGTGTAATGTGTAGTCCTCCTGCCAGTCGCCTGGGCCCTGCCGAGCTATCTGAACCTCCAAATAACAAACGACACTATATTAATTATGAAGCTGTCGGCTGTTTGCTATGGTTTCTAATTGACTAGCTCTGACTTAATCATTGACCCATAATTACTAACATTTTTATAAGGTCTTATTGTACTGAGAATGCAGACTTGTGTCCCCTCTTCCTGGGAATCACATGTCAACGACTCCCTTCACTACATTTCCCAGAATCCTCCTAGACTCCTAGTCCCACCTATCTTGCTTCCCTATTGGCTCACTGTAGCTGGAGTACTCACACACAATCAAGTCAACAAGATCAGTGGACATTCCAGTAGGCAGCACTTATTGGGCTATTACAAAAAAAGGAGAGGACATGAAATGGGAAGGGGGATGTGCTGCAGGTGCCTGGGGGACAGAGCAAAGCCCAGATTTAGAGTCCACTGGCAGCCGCTTCCACGTATCCAGGTGGATATGAAGGTCATGTACCAGGCTGGTCCCAGAGGAAGGTATTAGAGGCTGGAGAAGGTCCTGCTGCGCCTAGTTCTGTCCCTCATTAGCTAGTAGCCTCAGGATGCCTCTGTTCCCACAGGCCTCTGTTTTCTCTCCCTTCCATGGCCTTTCCAGGTCCATAGCCTGACAGGTTGCTGAGTTCTCTGAGAGGCACAGATTTCCTCTGAACATCTTCCCCCCCCCAAAAGAATCAGCTACTTTACTCAGAGTAACGTTCAAGTGCTCAAATCGGGAATGTAAAACAAGATGCAAAGAGTGATGTAAAAAAGTAGGTGTATGTCCGAGGACACGCGTCTGTAGAACTTAGCAGCAGCAGTGTCAGCTAACTCCAGAAAGTGTCCAATCACAGCCATTTGTTAAGAATGTACCTAAATTAGTTCAGTTAAGAATTCCTGAAAACTGAATTTGCTTTTATAAGGCTGGAATCTGCAAAACAGAAGTGGCCAAAATGCCACACTAGACAATTATAGATGTGTTGTTGATTGTTGTTGAGCAGGTAAAAGCCACGCATTCCTCTGGATTCAGGGAAATCAGCTTCCTAGAACTGCTCTCAAACCCTCATCAGGACAGTCACTAGGGCTCCGGGGAAGAAAACCTCACAGAGTCACCGTGAGCTACAGGTAAACAGAGGAAAGAACAGAGCAAGTCCTTCTGCCCAAAATACTTCACGGTGACTTGTCTTTGGTTCTGAAGGACATTTTGGATAAAGTCAAAAGGCTACCAATTTCTATTTTTAAGCCACTTCTTGGCCCTTCCCTCCTCTAAGTCATCTCAAAACACACCCAGGAGCTGTGGGGAGGCCAGCAAGTTTGATGCTGACTTGGCCAAGGCTCCACAACCCACTTCACTAGTCCAGAGCTGAGTACTGAGAGAGGAGCTGTGTGAACTAACTCCTGTTCCAACCAAATGGCTGTCTTTTTTAAGGAACATTCTCCTAATACCATGACCTTGGAGCTGACATCCCAGGAATTCAGAGTACGGCTGAAGGAGCCATAATGAACCCCGTGGCCATTTTTTAGGATTTCAAGCCAGAAACGACTAAATATAGTCTTGTAAATCAGCTAATACCAAATATCCCCACCCACACATTTAAAGCTCAAAAATTCTGTAGGCAGCTTCTATACCAAACCTATTTCCACTTAATCTACTTTCTCTTGGTACTAGGTGATGGGGGAAGAGATCTGTGTAGGTGTGAGGTGACCTCATGCCTCAGACAGGAAGAGGGGCAGAGGTTACCCCACATTTAGCACAGCTCCAGGGAGGGCATAAAACAGCCAGTAAATGCATCTGATAGAGTTCTCATTCAGTTCCTATCCTCTGCTCCTGGGTCCTCAAATCTTTGAGGTTTGGCTTTTACCCCTACACCTTTGTCTTTGTCACCCCAAGTTATAGCACCAAATTCCCACTTCTTGTGTCAACTTGAACAGATTGGCAGTATTTCCAGGGAGCTATCTCAAAAAGGATGATGGGGTAGGCTCAGTGGTTAAGAGAAAGCACTGCTTCTGCAGAGGACCCAAGTTCTGTTCCCAGCACTCAAGTTGGGCAGCTTATAACTGCCTGCAACTCCCAACCCCAGAGGAATCTAATAACTCTAGCCTCCTAAGGCACCTACATGCATGGGCATAACCACCCTTTCCAGTACACATAATTAGAACAACAACGACAACAAGAATGTCAGGGAATGCAGAGGGATATTCATGGAACTTTGGTTCTGGAGATGAGTAGTGATAATGGCTATATGACAATATGATTTTATTTAATACCATGAATGTATATTTACAGATGATTAAGATAATACATTTGATGTTATGTGTGTTTAACACACACACACACACACACAAACCTAAGAAGCAAACACAAAGAGAGAAAAAGGATTCTACCATCTGGAATCAATGGGATCAGGTCCGAAACTCCATTAGCGATGTCTGGGCGTGGAAGGTGCAGATATTGGCAAACACAAACCACGCATCCAGAGTTTCAAAATCAAACCATCAAAATGAAACCAAATAAGCCCTGGACTACGTTCTGCTTGGACTTGCCTGGCCTGCATCTTTGCTTCTCACTGACATTGAAAGGGGGCACAAGACAGAAGTAGCTCCCAGAACCCTAAGGCCTTAAAGGATGAGCAAGTTTGGGCTTCCGCCAGGGTGGGAAGGAGCCAGAGAGAAGGGACAGCAGAGAACATTCCCTTCAAGACAACTTCAACCCCCCTTCTGTGTGAGTGTGAGTGACAGAGGGGGGGGAGGGAGAGGGGAGAGGGAGAGAGGGAGAGAGAGAGAGGGAGGGAGAGAGGAGAGGGAGAGGGAGAGAGGAGAGGGAGAGGGAGAGGGAGAGAGGAGAGGGAGAGGGAGAGAGGGAGAGGGAGAGACAGAGGGAGGGAGAGACAGAGAGAGGGAGAGACAGAGGGAGGGAGAGAGGGAGAGAGGAGAGGGAGAGAGAGAAAGAAGAGTGAGGTAGAGAGACAGAGAGAGGGAGAGAAAGAGGGAGGGAGGGAGGGAGAGAGAGAGAGAGAGAGGGAGGGAGGGAGAGAGAGAGAGAGAGAGGGAGAGAGAGAGGAAAGAGAGAGAGAGAGAGAGAGGGAGGAAGGGAGGGAGAGAGAGAGAGAGGAAGGGAGGGAGAGAGAGAGAGAGAGAGAGAGAGAGAGAGAGAGAGAGAGAGAGAGAGAGGGAGCATGGCAGGCTCACAGAGCCCTTCACAGCCTCTCACCCGTGTCCACACTTGGCTTATAGAGTATCTGCCACTAGTACAGTGACAGCAGCTACCTTTGACCTGAGATGAGAAACATGAGATCCAGGCTTTGATCTCAGGCATGATTACGATTGAGGGAGTGTGACTTAGACTATAAACTTTGAGATTGGCTCTCCTGATCTGACACCCAGACTGAGGATGTGAAGGAAGGGGACACGAGCCTGTAGGTTCTGATGAGCCGAAGCTGGGAAAGAGGAGCGGAGGGCAGTGAGGACCAGCGTGAGCCAGTGTGAGTGTGAGCACAGTGAGGACGAGTGTGAGTGTGAGGACAGTGAGGACCAGTGTGAGTGTGAGTGTGAGCACAGTGAGGACGAGTGTGAATGTGAGTGTGAGCACAGTGAGAATGAGTGTGAGTGTGAGGACAGTGAGGACCAGTGTGAGTGTGAGAATGACTGTGAGTGTGAGCACAGTGAGGACGAGTGTGAGTGTGAGGACAATGAGAACCAGTGTGTGAGTGTGAGTATGTGTGAGGACAGTGAGGACCAGTGTGAGTGTGAGTGTGAGGACAGTGAGAACCAGTGTGAGTGTGAGGACAGTGAGAATGAGTGTGAGTGTGAGAATGACTGTGAGTGTGAGGACAGTGAGAATGAGTGTGTGAGTGTGAGTGTGAGGACAGTGAGGACCAGTGTCAGTGTGAGTGTGAGGACAGTGAGAACCAGTGTGAGTGTGAGTGTGAGGACAGTGAGGACCAGTGTGAGTGTGAGTGTGAGGACAGTGAGGACCAGTGTGAGTGTGAGGACAGTGAGAACCAGTGTGAATGTGAGTGTGAGCACAGTGAGGATGAGTGTGGATACTGAGTGTGAGGACAGTGAGAACCAGTGTGAGTGTGAGTGTGAGGACAGTGAGGACCAGTGTCAGTGTGAGTGTGAGTGTGAGGACAGTGAGAACCAGTGTGAGTGTGAGTGTGAGGACAGTGAGGACCAGTGTGAGTGTGAGTGTGAGTGTGAGTGTGAGGACAGTGAGGACCAGTGTGAGTGTGAGTGTGAGTGTGAGGACAGTGAGAACCAGTGTGAATATGAGTGTGAGCACAGTGAGGACAAGTGTGGATACTGAGTGTGAGGACAGTGAGGACCAGTGTGAGTGTGAGTGTGAGTGTGAGGACAGTGAGGACCAGTGTGAGTGTGAGTGTGAGCACAGTGAGGACGAGTGTGTACTGAGTGTGAGTGTGAGCACAGTGAGGTGCAAACCCTAACCCTCGTGGAAGCTCGCTTCTCCATTGCTGAGTTCTGCACCACCGTCAGGCCGAGGCACAGCCATGAACAAGACCCCACACCCCCAGCCTGGACTCTCGTCCATCCTTGCACCAGCCCCAGTGGGCACCGACCTGCAGGAGGGCACCAGAAGGGACTTCATCCATCGGAAGAAGCTGAAGTTTGAGGCTGACCCTGTGAGGAAGAAGAGATGGGTAGAGGTAGGCCTTGAGGACTTTTCACATCTTGAACCCAAGCTTCATAGGGACTTACACACTCACACCTTTCATGTGTGCGCACACACACAGAATGAGCACACTTTCCCACTCAAACCTATCACACAGCCTGGCGGCAGCTTGGCTCACACACTCACGGACAGTTCCCCAAAACTCATTTCTAAGCTCCAGATCCCTTCCGAGGAGACTGGGTGGAGCCTGCTGGAAAGAAAGGGGAATTCTTTCTGCCTTAGGAATTAAAACACATTTTCCTGATGTGTGTGTTGAATGCATCTCTCCGCTAGGACCACATACTCTGAGAAAGGGAACATGGCTTTTTTATCCTCATAACCTCATAGGATCTGGCACTGAAGAAGTTTCTAACAGTATTAAGTGGACAACTTAGTTCAGTGTGCAGAAATGTTTGATGTGAGGTTTGTTTTTTATGTTTGTTTGTTTTTTATATTAGTCAAATAACCTTTGTGTATGACACACTGATCTGAGTAAAGTTCAACCTTAAATATACATATAGAGTGAAATATATATTTATATAACATATATCTCATATTTCTTTATTATACACATACAACACACTGTTCATGTATAAAACACATTTATATTATTATTTATCAATGTATTATTGCATACAATTATACATTCTAAATTATATTAAATAATAATTATCATGTTAATGTGACTATAGTATATATTTATAAATATATAACATGTTTGTATGATTATATTACATAATAATTATTATATAATATATTATATTATGCACAATACATGCTATATACTATATATCATATATATGTATTATTGAATATATATATTGAATTTCAGGCCAGTACAGGCTGCCAAGAGAGACCCCCATCTCAATCAAACAAATAATAACGCCTTTTCTGGGCTGGCTGTGGTGGTAAACACCTCTAGTCCCAGTACTTGGGAGATAGAAGCAGGCAGATTTCTATGATTTTGAGACCAACCTAGTCTACATAGAGAACTCTAGGCCAGCCTGGGTTACATAGTAAGGTCTTATCTAAAAAAACAAAAACCAAAAAAAAAAATCCCTTTTTTGATGATCTGTCTTAGTTACTTTTCTGTTGTTGGCATAAAATACTGTGACAACTTACAGAAGGAAGGATTTATCTGGGCCTGTGGTTTCAGGAAGTTAGAGTCTGTCACCATCACTGCAGGAAAACATGGCAGCAGGCAGGGCATCTGGAGCAGCAAGCTGAGCGCTCACATCTTAAACCACAATTAGGAAGCCAGGAAATCATTCCAGGACCAGCATGTGGCTTTAAAACCTTATGTGGTTTCTAAAACCTCAGAGCACATGCCTAGTGTCATATTTCTCCCAGCAAGGCTACACCTCCTAAGGCTGCCAGCATAGTACCACCAGGTGGGACCATGTATTCAGATGCCCAAGACTATGAGGGACATTTCCTTCAAACCACCACAGCCTTGGCATGATAAGTTATATATAACCCGCCCCCAGGCTGGCCTTAAAATTAAAGGTCTTCCTTTCTCTGCATTCCAAGTGCTAGGAGTATAGGCACACACCACCCTGTCCAGCTCAAATTATGTATGACTTTGAAAAGTTAGTCAAACATAATTTTAGAAAAGGCATTCCTCAATTACATGAACAGATACAGCTGAAATAGACTAGTGAGAGCATGTTTAATACATGATCAATAAATCAGCATTGTTTTAAGATGCTTATGTTAAAAAGCTATGTCACAGATCAGGCACCAGTGTGACCTCCAGTGATCTAAAGGGATGACACCAATTGGCAAGCTAAGCAATAGTGGAGAGACCACCTCGAATGCCCATTCCTGATAATGATCTTGATGTCTATAACCATGCTGGAGCCTTCATCCTGTGACTGATGGAAGCAGAGGCAAACACCCACAGTTAAACATTGAACTGAACCCAAGGAACCTAGTGACACAGAGAGAGGAGCGATGAGCAAATTGGCAAAGAATGGGCTGGCAAAACCAGCAGAGACAGCTGATCTGAACAGGGGAGAGCTCTTGGACCCCAGACCGACAGCTGGGAGGCCAGCATGGGACTGATACAGACCCCCCGGCCCCCCCCGAATGTGAGTGTCAGTGAGGAGGCCTGAGCAACCTATGGGGCCCTGAGCAGTGGATCAGTGTTTATCCCTGGAATACAAACAGACATCGTGTGTCCATAACAAAAAGAGGGATGCTCTCTCAGTCTGGACTCTTAGAGGAGTGCCTGGACCTACCCTGAGTGAAATGACAGACTCTAGATATCCCCTATGTGGAAGGAATTGACAATAGGGTGGGAGGCTGGAGGGGGGATGGTGAAGGGGGGTGGGAGGAGGGGAGGGAGAGGGAATTGGGACTGACATGTAAAACAAGCTATTTAAAATTAAAATAATTTTAAAAATTAAAAAAAAATAAAAAGCTATGTCTTGGTATCTTGTAGTGCTCCTGTGGTAGAACAGAGCAAACATTATAGATCTGCAATAGTATATGTAATTGCAGAGAGGAGAATCCTAATATATTCAGGTAATCAATATGTATTCTATAAAAAGATACAAAATAAAAGTTATTAATTGATCTTTCTTATATGTGATCATTTAAATTCTAAATTATAGACACTGGCTTGAAATTTTATTTCATACTTTGCTGTGATTGGATTTCTGGGAAAAATATTTAGATTTCCTAAGATGAAGCAATCATTATGTTAATTAAAATATATTCTATCTGTAAAATTAGATGATATAGGACCTCTTCACAGAATTACTGTTTTTCTAAGACATTATTTTAGTACAATATACCAAATTACTGTAATTCTGAAGATCTTTTTTTTTTCAGTATGTCTAGATTGTTCTTGTCCATCTGATTTAGTCCGGACTTGACAGTAATTACATTTTGTTTTTGAGACAGGGTCTTACTGTGTAGCTCTATCTGGCCAAGAACTCACTATGTAGACTAGACTGACCCTGAACTCACAGATATTTACCTGTCTCTGCCTCCTGGGTGTTCCATACTTGGTGATATCAATTGCTTTATTTTGAATTGGAGCACCACAGAGTTTTCTGGAAAGGGCGCCCCAGTGTGTGTTGCTGGCGATTAAACTCAGAGCCTTGGGCATACTATGCCAGCACTTTACCCCTTAGTTACATCCGTAACCCTCCACCACATCTTAAAAACTTTTTTTAATTTTTAGCTGTCTCTGTGTGTGTATATGTTCATATGATTTCTGGCTAGAAGAGGACACTGAATCCCCTGGAACTAGAGTTGTAGGAGGTTGTGAACCACCCCTGTGGGTTCTGGGAGATGCATTTGAGTCCTGTGCAAGCATTAAAGATGCTTTAAACTGCCAGGCCATCTCTCCGGTCCCCTTTCAATTTATCTTTTTAAAAATAATATTTTTATTGAGAGTTTCACACAATGAATTTTTATCATGTCACTACTCTGCCTCTCCTACCCACCAGACTTCCAATTTTCTTCTTTAAACCCACTGAGTCCTATTTGTGTTGCCCAGCTGCTCTTGGGAGTGGAACAACCCTGGGGTGTGGTTAACCTACTAGACTTCACACCATTAAAGAAAACAGACTCTCAGACTGGGCATGGTGGTGTATGCCTTTAATCCCAGAACTTGGAAAGCAGAGGCAGGCACATCTCTGAATTCAAGACCAGTCTTGTCTAAGAATTGTGAGTCCCAGGTCAGCAGAGATACACTGTGAGACCCTGTCTCAAAGAAAGAAAAGAAACAAATAAAAAATAAAATTGATTTCCCTCTCCCAGCAGCTTTTGAATGTCAATGGCTCCTCATCTAGTAGTGGGATTTTATCCCTACCTCCCTCTCTCCATGTTGGGCTTTTGTCTAGCTTGAGATTGCAACAAGTCTTGTGCATAGTCACAATCATTGTAAGTACATATGTGGGACTGCCCTGTCCTGTCTGGAAAAGACTGTTTTCTTGAAGTTCTCTACTTCCTCTCTTACAGTCTTTCTGCCCGTTTGGAGAAGATCATGAGTCTTGGGGTGAGAAATGTGATATGTATGGCCCCTTTACGGATAAGCATTCCACAGTGCTTATTCCCTAGATGTTGACCAATTGAATGTCTCCATGTTCATTGCCATCTACTTCAAGAAAAAGTTACTCTGATGAGGGCTGATAGGTACACTGATCTATGAGTGTAGCAGTAAGTCATTAAGAACTGTTTCAATGCTATGTCTATTTAGTAGTATTAGGTTCTCCCTTGGGGCTTATGACCTATCTATGCACAGGTTCGTGGCCCCAGTAACAGTGCCACATACGGGTTCCATCTCATGGGATGGACCTTAGAGCAATCAGAAAGTGGCTGGTTACTCCCATAACATCTGTGCCATTATTGCACTAGTGAACATATCCTTCCAGGTCACTTATTATTGTAGCTCATAGGGTTCACAGCTGGGTGGAACCAATGATTACTTTTCTCCTCCAGTAGCATGCATAGTACCTTCCAGCACCATGAAAGCTAGCCAAATTCTAGAGGGTAACCAAGAATAGTGGAAAGCACCTGTAACGTTTGGGGTTTTCTATATGGGACTTCACTGGTCAAGGATTCAAAAGAGATAACACCTTCTGTTTCTGGGGTTTTTATTTGCTAGCATATGATATCTTGTTGGAGTATTATACCCCCATTGTAAGGTAACTCCATTTTAAACTATTTTTATATGTGTATATGCATATTTTATGAAGTTTCTACACTAGTAAGGATTTTTTTCAAAAGTGTTAGTAATCCCTCTCCATATTCCCTCCTCTACCATGACCTCCCACCTCCCACCCCATTTAATCTTCCTTATTCCATTATTCTCTCTTCCTCCGTTATATTGTTGTATTATATGTCCCCTCTCTTAAAAGCATACCCCCAGTGGTCCCTTACTAGTTTCCTAATCTCTATGTGTATTCCAAATGAATCATACATAACTAAAGATTCCAAGCTAACATCCACATACAATAGAAAACGCACAACATTTGTCTTTCTTAGTCTGTGTTACCTTACTTACAATAACTCTAGTTTCATTCATTTACCTGTGTATTCCATAATTTCATCTTTAATAGGTGACTAATATTCTATTGTGTAAATGTACAATAACCAGGAAATGGAAACAGCCTAGATGTCTGTCAACTGGTGAACAGGTAATGAAAGTTTGGTAAATTTACACAATGAAGTATTATTCAGCTGTTAATACATCTTTAAGATTGGTTTATTATTGAGGAAAAATATAAATTATGTGCTGTGGTTTGAATGTGTCCCCCAAAGTTCATGTGTGGGAACTTAATCTCTAGCGTAACTGTTAAAAGGCAGGATCCTGAGATGATTCAGCCATGGTGGCTCTGTTCTCTTAACTGGAGTAATACTCTATTCTGGGAGTGGGTGAGTTACCTAGGGAGTGTGTGAGTTATTTAGGGAGTGGGTTAGTCATCTAGGAAATGGGTTAGTTATCTAGGGAGTTGGTTAGTTATCTAGGGAGTGGATTCCTAGTAAAAAGATAATTTCATCTCTCTTCCTCTCCTTCCTTCTCTTCCCTGTCCCTACCCCCGTATCTTCATGGGATGACTTTCTCTGTGTTATAATGCATCAATTAGGCTTCAACCTAAGTACCCTCTGATCCTATGCTTCCCAATCTCCAGAACCCAGAACTGAATACTTTTTTGTTGTTTATAAATTGTTCAGTTTATGGTATTTTGTCTTTATCACTAGAAAGAAGACATTTTTTATTTTCTGTCTTTTTTTAAGACAGGGTCTTATTATGTTGCTCTGACTAGACTATATAACTTGCTGTATAGTTCAGACTGGCCTTGAACTCACAGAGATCTGCCTACCTCTGTCTTTTGAGTTCTGGGATTAAAGGTACACACCATCATATGCGGCTATTTTCTTCTTCATATGTATAGGTTCTCCACTGATATAATTTTTTTTTTGGTTTTTCGAGACAGGGTTTCTCTGTGGCTTTGGAGGCTGTCCTGGAACTAGCTCTTGTAGACCAGGTTGGCCTCGAACTCACAGAGATCTGCCTGCCTCTGACTCCCAAGTGCTGGGATTAAAGGCATGTGCCACCAACGCCCAGCTTACCACTGATATAAATTTTTATTCCTGGTTTTTGTCATTTGTACCTTATTCTGACTGGTCTGGCCAGAAGCCTGCTGATTTTACTGACCTTTTGACAAGAATGTCCTACACACACACACACACACACACACACACACACAAGGGTTTGAACACTTGGTCCTCAGATAGTGGGCTGTTTGGGGAAGTTTAGGCAATGTGGCCCTGCTAGAAGGGGTGTGCCGCTGGGGGCAGGCTTTGAGGTTTTAAATCCTCCTCCATTCTTGGTGCCCTTTCTGCTTTGTACTTGTTGAAGACGTGAGTTCTCAGCGTTCCGTTCCCACCTCCATGCCTGCTGCTAGCTACCATGATGGACTCTTACTCCTTTGGGTCTCTAAGCCCAAACAAAGCCTTCCTCCTGTAAATTGCCTTGGTCAAATGATATTAAAGCATTAACTCAGAGCACAGGAAATGTATAACATATGCTACATCGGTACACTTTATTTCAGCGTATTATTTTATCCTTGCCTCTCTCGCCATTGTTGTCATCCGTTTTAGTTGATAGGTCTCATACATCTCAAATTAATTGCTAGTGCATTTCACTTATAGTTATTTATGTGTATGCCAGATTTTTAACACAAAATTCTTCAATGAGAGCTAGAAAAAATAAGGGAAATAGTAGCGCAAGGATTTAGCCACTTACCAAGGTAAAGACCTGGACTGGCCTGGCCAATGTAGAAATACACAATGACAGCAACACCCATGCTAAATAGGGTATAGACCCACTGGATCACAAACATGATGAGGAGGGACGCAACAGCCTACAGACATAGACAGGAAGAGTAAGTCACCTAATGGTTTTGTACAAGGTAATCAGAACACAGCACTAAGTAAGACCTTAGGAGACAGTGACCTCTGAACAGCCTCTGAGCTCTGAATAATTAAAGTTTACTTATAATAAAAGTAAATAAATAATAAAAGTAAGTAAATATACTTAAAATAAAACTCTGAATAACTAAAGTTTACTTACATGAAATAAATAATAAATAAAGTTTACTTACTGTGGTAGTGTGCTAGTTGTTTTATTTTTTAATTTGTTTGTTTTGTTTTTGTCACGTTGTAATAGGGTCATCTGGGAATAGGGAATCCATTTGAGAAAATGCCCCCATCAGATTGATCTCTAGGCATGTTTTTTTAAATTATTGTTGATTGATGGGGAAGGGCCTATCCAACTGCAGGTGGTACCATCAGTGGGCAGGTGGTTCTGGAGTGTATAAGAAAGCAGGCTGAGTAAGCCACCGGGAACAAGCCAGTAACATGGTCTGCTTCAGCTCCTGCATCCTGTTTCCTGCCTTGAGTTCTTACCCAACTTCCTCTCATGGTGGAATGTAAGCTGTTCCCAAGGTGACTTTGGTCACTGTTTATCACATCCATAGAAAGCCAACTAAGACAGGTGTTTAGCGTGGCTGCTAACTTGACAGGATCTAGAATTACCCAGCAGGAAACCCTTAGGCATGTTAGTGAGAAATTTATTGGATTAGATTAGCCCCTGGGGATGACTGTGAGAGGCGATTTGGGTTAGATTAATTGAGGAGTTAAGACCCAATGGAAGGTGATACCATCCCCTGAGCTTGGGTCCTAGATGCATGAAAAGGAGGACATACAGGCATTACAAGAAAGTACAAGCTGAGCACAGGCATTCATCTTTCTCTGCTCTCTGACTATGGATACAATGTGACTAAATACTTCAAGCTCCTGCTGTAAGGACTTGCTGGTAATGATGGATTGCACCCTTAAACAATGAGCCAAAATAAACCCCTTTCCTCTTCAGTTGCTTTTGTCAGAGTAACAAGAAATCCAATTATGACAGAAATCTGGTACCAGAAGTGGGGATGTTGCTGTCATGAACCTGACCGCATGGTTCTTAGCACTCTGGAACTAGTTTTGCAGGCAGAATCTAGAAGCCTTTGGAACTTTGTGATGCTAAAGCCTTTGAGTACAGCAAGTAAAGATTAGTGGGCCACTCTGGTACGAGCATGGAAGACAAGAATGCCAATAGAAAGGTTGACAATAGAGACCTAGCTCCTTAAGTTTCCAATGGGAACAAGAACTCTGTCAGAAACTGGGCTAGAAGGCATTCATATGACATTTTGGACAATACTGTGGCTCCATTCTGCCCATGTCCTGAGGACTTAATTAAGTGAAGTTGAATGTAAAGATGATAGATTAATTTGCTTGGTAGAGGAATTACAAGAGAGGAGAGCATCCAGGCTATGGTATGATGGCTTTCTGCTGCATTTTTTTCAGGTCTACAGTGAAAAGGAATAAAAAGTTGAGCATAAAGGTAGAAATAAAGGATAAGAGTGGCAAGTTAAACTACGAGACTAAGGAGCATGCTGAAAAATAGTACTTAAAGAGGAGCATTCTGCTTTGTAATGGGACAACAGGAAACATGTCTCCAGGGCAGGATCCTATCCATTAAAGGGTCTATTTTTTGAAAACACAAATTTATTGGAAAGGAGAGAGCCTAAATTGAAATACAGACTGTCATTGAAAGGGGTCCCCCATTCCTCAGAGGTACCTGCCTAGAGACATGTTTTCCCAGGATTAGCACACAAAAACTGATACAACTGTGGTCCAAGGAAGACAGGCTACCTCCCTAGATGGCAGCAGGATGTGGTACTGGTTCTCTATGCATGAAAGATGCAAGACTGAGGTGTTGTGGCATCTTGAACCACAGTTTCAGAGAGTCTTTGAGACCTGCCAATATACTTCAAGGTTGGAACCCCCATAAGGAGGTCTTGAGAGGCCATGGTGTGAAACTGTGAGATGAAGTCTACATTACTATAAAGATCCCAGGATATTAGCGATGCCTGGATCATGGGATATCTGCTGAGGAAAGCTACAAGCATAAAGGACAGCAGGCTAGAGAAAAAAGGCTATATTCTTACAGGAAGAGGAGCTATTTGGGTAGGCTATCCAAACCTTTTTGACCCCATATGATTCCACAACCCCAAGACGGTAGACATGAAGCTGCAGGATTTGATGTTTGCTTTCCTGAGTTTTGGTCTTCCTTCATTCTGATTATTCTTTACTATGCCCCCATTCCTCCCTTTTAGAATGAGAATATGTATTCTGTGCCATTGCATACTGGAAGTATGATAACTTGTTTTAATTTTGTGGTAGTTCATGGTTAAGAGACTGCCTTGCATCTCAGATGAGACTTTAACGTTGGGCCTGAATGCTGTTGAAACTGTTAAGGGATATGGGGGCTTCAAGGTAAACTAAACACATCATGCATTATGAATGGCCATGAGCATGAGGACAAGGGGTGAAAAGTTATGGCTTAAAAGTTAATGGTTGTTAAACTGACAAGAGGTAGAACTGTGGTTGGTTAGTATCAATTGTCACCTTTAAAATTGGGATCTAGAATCCTGATTCTGGATTCTGGAATGAAAAGAGTAACTATATACTTACTCAAGCAAGTTTTGGGGGAAAATACTCTTTGAAGATAACCCCTGAATCAAAGCCACCAGCAAGAAGACACTCTGACATAGTTACTTGCCCTGTTGCTGTGATATGCTATCCTGATAACAGTTGCTTAAGGGAGAAAGGGCCTATTTTGCCGCACAGTCAGAGGCTCACAGTCATGACCCATCATAGTGGGAAGTCCCAGCAGTGGGAACTTGAGGCAGCCAGTCACACTGCATCCCCAGTGCAGAGTAAAGAATGCTTACACAGCTCACCTTCTCAGTCCAGGATCTCAGCCCAAGGAATGCTGCCGCCCACAGTGGGCAGTCTTCCCAGCCCAATTGACCAAGATAAGCCCCATAGACACTCCCCAAAGCCTGTCCCCCTGCCCACTCTCCATCTTATCCAGTTGACATTTGAGATTAACTATTATACTATTTTACACTCCTCCCTACAATCAACAGATTAGCATGAAATGAGTAACCCAGGGTGATCAGACACAATTATTTAAATAGTAGATAATTGATTAAAATGAGTGGTTGATTAAATGTAAATCTTGTCATAGTGATTTCATCTCAATTCTAATAAAGCAAGCAATTTAATCATGTTGATGCTAATTAATACCTTTTCTTCCATTAAATCTCTATCTCACATACACATACATTCATCTGAATCATTTCTTAAGGATACTGAGATCAAAAAGAAATTACTCACCCCTAACAGGGAGACCCAGGGGTTACACATGTGAGTGTAGAAGGCACTTGGTCTCCTCTGGACCTCTTGTTCCTGAAGTCGGCATTTCAGAAAGAAATCTAAAACATAAATTGGCCAAATCCTTCATTACTGACTTACTACCAATCCCTCTCTATTTTGATAAATAAATATCTACAAGCTCATGTCCCCTGATTTTACAATTTAGCCTAGAACTAGCTCCAAGCCCTTGCTCATGGAGAAGGCACAGACCTGTAAAGAATGGCGAGAAAGACCAGAGTAGAAGTGGGAGCCTCCCCAAGCCTGCTGCACTCTTGTCCATATCTGTTGTTTGGGGGCACCCAAAGTCCAGTTCTTCCCTCTATTTCAGATGGAGGGGTCAGAAGCCAGGAGCTGAACCCTGGTCTTTGGGTCCCCGTGCTACCACTGGAACTGATGGGCCAGGCTGGCTTTTAGACAACAGGATATT